ATGGACTTTATTATCTGCGTAATCGCCTACTCATACCTCCACGACTTGCGTCAGCGCCGGTTACAGCGTTTGGCCGCCGGCGCCCAACCCATGTGGTTGACGACCGGACCCGACGGCAATCAAACTCTGGTCAATATGGCACCGGTCGAGGCGTTCAGAAACCCGTACGGCACGGCCTGGCAAACACCGCTACCACCGCGACCGCCCCCGTACTCGTTGGACAACAAGAATGTCCAGAATATGCCATAAGTTTCGAGGGCTTTAAATGTGATTTATTTTTCCCGAAAGTATTGATAATGTATTATATTTTTATAACTATTTAAGAGATTGTATTTATGTGTTAATAAAGTATTTTAAATGAGAGTTTTAAACATTAAGTAAGAGTTCAGTTTTAAAAATGCTAAAAATAATTATTAAAATCAACACAATTTGCATTTTGATTAAAAAGTGCAACAAATCATCAAACGGTACAATATTTCGGAATCAGTTTCAACACACGTGTAATTTATAAACTAATAAAAAATATGCAAACACTACAAGAATTTAAATGCTTTAAAAAGTCCCTGAACTTGAAGTGTTATATCGTGATCAATTATTTTACTTAACAAGCATTAAGTTGTTTAACAGATTATTTTATGTAAAGTTTATATTAAATTTTAAATTCAAATCACAAGTTATAATGTAATCAATTTTTGTGCGAACGTCAGTTTATAAAAACTTAAAACATTAATATTTTGCAATCAAAATGTTTCACAATGTTTAATCCAAATATCAGTTTGCGATAGTTTTTTATATTGTAAATTGAAACTACATTTATATCCTATTCTAACGATAACAATACATCATTGGACACAAAAAAGTACATTATTCGAGACATTATAATGAAATATAAACTACAATATAATGAGATCATAAACCAGAAAAATTTATATTGTTGCACTTCAATGGCAATTGATATTGGTACAAAAAATACAAACTTTTGTCAAAAATATATTTAAATTGAAATAAAGTGCATTTAAATTGAGAATAAACTTTTATTTAACATCTCTCGCAAACCATTGGATATAAAACACAAATAAGTAATCTTAATTGCTTTAACCATTAAATAGTTTTTTGACAAATAATTTAACAATTGATTCTTAAAGGTTGATAAATAATTTGCATTTAAATGATCACAAAATAAATTGGTGTGAATTCTAGTTATCGTCTGCAATACTAATAAGAAATTGAAATTTAAAAGGCAGAGGGTTTTAAATAATTAGTTTCACATCAATATTCAGATTTAATTGAATTGAAAATATTATTTTTCATTGACTTCAAAGTGAAATCTCATACGATATTATAAAATAGGTTTCATATTTGTTTTAAAAGTGTAATACAGTGTACGAGACAGTGATGTGTTGCTATCAATAGTAATATCGCATTATTAATCAATGTTTCTGTCAATTGGTAACTGAAATAAAAAATTATTTTCCATTTCAGTTCACATAACAGACAATTAGAAGAAAATAAAAGTAGTTTTCATTTCTTAAGAGTGTATTCAAAAGTATTTCACCAAAAGTTTTACTCAAACAATAAGAGTTTCCACACTTTTGTCTCCCATTGAAAAGTACAGTAAGTTTTGGCACACATTGTGTGCTTCTCTTTATACCTGTAATAGTAATTCACTTGAAATCCATACCTGTATTTATCCAGGAGAGAGGGGGAGGGAGAGTACAGGTGAGGAGGGGAGGGGTGGGGGACGGGAAGGCACTTTACAACTGGTGAAATACCACACGTATTACAATACCGGCTATACTTATAGTGTATATAATCGAAGGTCAGGTAAAGAGAGAGAGAAATGTGTGTCGATTACGGATTTTATACACATTTCAAGTGTTTGAACACATTTTTCGCAACACTTTCTCTTCATTTATGCCTTTTTCTGTGTTTTGGATTCAAATGTTTTGTCTGTCAATAGAGAAAAACCATAACTTTTTTGTGTGTCAATTGTCCTCTTCTAACACAATGTCTTGAAACTTAATTTTTCTTATTTTTCAAAAAGTTCTGCGGATTATAATTACAAATAGTATAATGTCTTCGTTGGCGACGTTAGTGAAGAGGGCGGTGACTCTCGGCGCCAACTCTGGCCGACAGCAGCTGCTATCGCGAGTAGTTTTGGTCACAAATCAATCCTCAATTGACATCAAGTTTATCTCAAATCAGGTGTGAATTGAAACTCAATTTATATTTTTATTAAAAAAAATTTAATTAAAACTTTATTTCAATTTTTTCTTTGAAAGCCATTCATAACGAGCGGACACAAGAAGAAGGTCTCACCGCCGGTGGTGTCGCCGAAGAACATGTCTTTGCGTTACTGTTCGCCAATTCCTGTCATATCTATGCCGTCGTCTCCGATGGACGCCTTCTATGAAGGTCTCGATGTCGGCGAAGAGACGGTGACTATCGCTGGGCGACCTCTGGCAGTGATCTTGTCGTGGATGTTAGCCAAGGATAGCCATCTGGAAAAGTACCGCCAGATGTGGTTTCGGCGCGGTTTCGATGTCCTCACTGTCAAGACATCGCCGTTGGATCTACTGTTGCCGCCGATCGGCGGTCAAGTGGTTGCCGCCAATTTGATCCGCTATTTGTCGCAAATTAATCCCAAATACGACGAGATAGTGATCCACGCCTTCTCTGTGGGCGGCTATCAATACGGAGAAGTGATGCGAAAGTTGATCGCCAGCCCCGAAGAGCACCGGGAGTTGTGTCGCGCGTTCAAAGGCATTATCATAGACTCGATGGTTCACTGGCAGGACTGCGCGCCCGGACTGTCGCGAGCCATCTCCACGAACCCAGTGCTGCAACCGTTGCTGGAAATGTCAATCAAGACCTTTGTAGCGCTCACTCACAGCGTTTCGATGGCCCACTACCACAAGTCCACGGAACAGATATTTGGCAATCCATTAAAATTACCCGGTATTCCGTGTTTGCCGTCATAAGTGACTTGAATTTAACCCGTGTTTTACTTATTTCAGGTCTACTGTTGTATTCAACCGATGATGTGGTGAGCAATGTGTCCCGAAACGAGTCTCTGGCCAACCGGTGGCGAGAAGTGGGCGTTTGGGTGGACACAAAGTGTTGGCAGCGGTCGACACATGTCCTCCACTATCGCGACCATCAGTACGAATACGAACACCGATTGGACGCATATCTTAAGAAATTGAGACTCAAATCGGCGCTCGTTTAACGTTTTGGTCGTGTTTTGGGTTTTTATATAAGTTTTAATCATTAATAGTCTTTATTATAAATGTTTTCTCATTTTATAAATTCTTAAAATCCATTTATTAACACAAGAAATGATTTTTATTTTATATAAAAGTCTCGTTTTATATTTCAAACATAAAATATCGCGTTTTAATAAATTTGATATATTTTCCCGACGTTATCATTAAATTATTGCATTCTCTCTCTCTCTCTCTCTCTCTCTCTCTCTCTCTCTCTCTCNCATTACAAATAAATATTTGTGTTAAAAATGATAATTTTATTCTTCAATTCATAAAAAATAATTAAAAAACAGTTTTTAAATTCAATTTAATTGTGTTTGACATTTGATGATAAGCTCTAAAACAGTTTCGTAATCATAATGCACTTCAAAATACGAAAATTGATTAAAAATAATCACTTCCAGCGATAATCACCTCATTTTGTGCATCAATCAAATCACTGATCACAAGCCGTTGCGGTGGTGGCGCCACAAAAGTGTCGGTCATTTGATGGCCGATTTGATGCGAGCGTAGGGCCAACTCGTTGGCAGTGGCGTAACCGCAGTCGTCGCGATCGCAACGGTATCTCAGATGGTGTCCCGTTTGGTGCATCCGTAAGTGGCCGGGAGTGCGGAACACTCCGGGACACCCATCCGGACACCGATGGCCCACCACTTGCGAGTGGCTCTTCATATGCAGCTGAAGGTGCAGTCGATTCGTGAAGTACTTCTCGCAACCAAACCATTGGCACTGAAATTCTTTTGCCACCGATTTTTTGCCAACACTTTTAGATCCCGACAGCGGTTTGTCTACCGATTTGTTGGCCTTTTTGTCGGGAGTTTTGTCCACCAATTTCTCAACAGTTTTATCGCCTTTTTTATCACTCGCTTTCTTATTGACTAATTTGTTGGCCTTTTTATCGGGAGTTTTGTCCACCGCTTTCTCAGCCGTTTTATCGCCTTTTTTATTGATTAATTTGTTGGCCATTCTTTCGATCGGTTTCTTAACAGGAGTTTTGGCCACCAATTCCTCAACAGTGTTGTCCACAGTTTTGTCCGCAGTTTTGTCACTCGCCTTCTTATTTGACTTTATAAGAGACCTTTTGTTCGCCGTTTTATTGGCCGCCGTCTTCTCGTCAGTGGATTTGACCTTTTCTTTGACTATTTTGGACCTCAATTCACGACTGTTCGGCGTATCATTCGGTTCACTATCGCTAATATGGCCGTCAGATTGAGTCAATGGTGGCCGTGTTCTTGGAGTGAGTGGACTGATTGGAGTGCTTCGAGATCTGATTCGAGTGATGGCACCCGTATTGTTGCACTCGTATTGCGAATGAAGTCTCATTACGTGTCTCTTCAGATAGTAAGGACTGGGAAAGGTTTGGTCACAACCCTTAACGCACCGGTAGGTGTGGCCCGAGTGAAGAATCTGGTGCCGCCGTAAATGATTGTTCGCGGTATACGTTTTGCCGCAGCCATTCCAACGGCACGTGTATCTCTTCTCAGCACTCCTCTTGGTATCGCTCTTGAGATCACTCTTGGGATCGGCTATAAGACAGAAACACCGGAAGAATATCAGTGGTAATGAAATATCAATGAAATTCTATTTTAAAAATCTTACACTTCTGTTCACTATCTGTGTCTCCGATGGGATTGTATGGCAAACACTGCAAACTAATTACACATCGCTTGTCATTAGTGGCCGTGAAGTCGTGGATCTGTTTCTGTTGTTGCGCTAATCGGTGGATAGACTGCTTGTCTGTCGCCTTCTTCGACGGTTCACTGTTGAGACACTTGTCGTACTTTTGCGACAGTAATTGAAATTTCAATAAATCTGTTTTCAAGCGATTGTTTTCGCGTCTCAATTGACATATCGTTGAGTACAACGACTGTCGGCTTAATCCAGACAAACCGGTGGTCAGACACCCGGTGCTCCTCAACACCCGACACATGTTGTTTGGCTCAACACGTGTTTCGTATGTTTGGCTCAATTTTTATTTGGATCTTTAAATGCAAACAAGTGTTACAACTATTAATATCACAAAACTAAACAAAAAAACTTTTCAAAACTTACTTTTAATATAAATTTATTAATCGTAACGAAATTTAAATAAATCACACAAACTATACGTTAATTAAAGGCCAGATTTGGCGCACATTTTTTTGGTTGAAAAACTTGTTTTACGATCACATGGTGTGCAAAGTGCTAAAACACCCCTTTATTATAAAGGCTTTACATTTACACTGCATTATTGGCGTTCAGTTTGGGCTCACATTACTTGCATTTACATATTTAATACATATCCAAAGTACAGGTATATAAGCCTATTAAATGCTTTTACATCTATTTTACATTTATTAACACTTATACACAGGAATGCCATCTTTTTCGAGAGAGAGAGAGAGAGAGAGAGAGAGAGAGAGA